TCAGTGTGTTAAGAGACTTGTAGAGGCAGAAGACTTGAGTATGTTAGCTGAACTTATTCTTTAAAATACTCTAAAGAATGATGAATCAAAGGAAAACATCTTGCCAGAACAATCAGTTTAAGGACAGGCGTAGTCAAACAATTCAAATACCAGAACACTAAAATTTAAATACATCTGGAAAAGAGCCAGAGATATCTGCTCACCAACAAAACTAAGTTTTAACTGAGCAATCTGTTCACTTTAAACAAATGCAATTTTAGCTCTGACACATATAAAAAAAGGCTATATCAATTTTTTTTTCTGGAGAAAACTACATTAAAAAAAGTCCTAAGCAAATATTTTAAGGAACCAATGTTTACACATATGGACAGAATAGAAACTTAAGCAATCATTTTAAAGCTCCACAATGTTTACCTTTCTCAGTCATCTAAACCTTTAAAAATCGACCATGCCAGGATCATCCCCTAGGCACTGGCTATACGCTCTTTCATAGCTGTATAAATCATAACTTCCTACATCATGGGGTTTAATTAGCAAATAGCTGAACCAATGAGGTAGAGAAAAGTAAACACAATCTCATAGCCAAAGGGAACCTGCTGGCAGATCTGCAACCTACCACAGTGCAGGGCAGCCAAACCTCACACAATCCCTCATTCCAATTTGTGTTCCCAGGACATGACTTCTGGTGCAGCCCGGCCAGTAAGTAGCTGGGGTAAGTCTCCCCTTCTGTTAAATGAGGAAGGCCAACCAGAGGATTTGGAAGGGGCCCTCCCAGTGAGGATCTAAGTGAAATGACAACTGAGGACCAAAAGCTGCCAGCCTTTCAGAATCTTCAGAGGCTTCTCTGACTCCCTTTCTGTGAGGAGAGTATGTGGGAAGAGAGGAGTAAAAAAAGCCTTTGGGCCCCATAAATGAGGGGGGAGGGGTATACAGGGAAGGAGAGGTGGTACTGCTAAAAGGATTAGCTCAACAGAACAATCTATCTCCTCAGTAGGTTCTGAACCCCAAACCCCAGCTTTTTCTAAAGTGAATAAACTAAAAGGGACTCTACTTAAGGTAGGAACAGGGATTTGGATAAGAGAGGCAAGCAAGGCACCAAAGGCAACTTTCATCCACTTTACTATTTTGTCTGAAGCCATCCAAGTCAATCTACTCTTTTTACCCTAAGTTCTCATTTACTGAGTGCTTACAATATGCAAAATAGCATGCTTTATGCTTAGATTATCTCATTTAAATCCTCGCACTACCCTATCATTACCACCATTTCACAGGTGAGGGCCTGAGAAGGTTAGAGTCACACAAATCATCAATTGCAAAGCCTGGGCACAACTCCCTGTCTACCTGAGCCCTTGCTGCCTCCCGTCTTTGGCTTACACATCACAGACTGATAACCCTGTAGGACACAATCTTCTTCTTTCAAAGATGCTTTGCTCTAAGTTAGCAGAATATACACTTATCAAGTGAAAAGGAAAATCCAGTTGAAGAAAAGTCCACTCCAGGACTAAATTCTCAATCACCTCACTGGCCAAAGGAATGGAACAACCAAAACAGTTTTCTTTAGATCCTTAACTAGGGTGAAAAGAACAGGGACAATTAAATAATATTAAATGAAAATAAAATAATAATTTAGAAAGGGTAACATTTTTTTAAATTAAGGTTTATTGGGGTGACAATGGTTAGCAAAGTTACATAGGTTTCAGGTGTACAATTCTGTAATACATCATCTATATATCACATTGTGTGTTCACCACCCAGAGTCAGTTCTCTTTCCATCACCAT